AAAAGATGAGTTAAAGAAAAAGTAAAACTCAATCTTAATTGGCTAGAGACTCGTGCTGATAACGTGTTATAAAATCAAGCTCATAAGAATATAATCATAAAGAGAAGAAGACAAGAGAAGTAGATAGAAGAAGGGGAGTTTTCTTCTTATTCAAGTGTATTTAAGTGTCATCTGTATCTATTACAATAGTGAATGAACAACCCTATTTATAGAGTGAGAAATCACTCCAAAGGTCACCATATTAAATATCATAATAAATAGATACATTCTTATCCAAAAAGGTTCATGTAACCTAGTGAATATGAATGGTTGTTCATGTACCAACCTTATGGACTATCCACTCATTCTATGAATTTATAACATATAATATTTTTTTAGTTATCAAACAAATTTATTAATGAAGAGAGTAAACTCATTTTTTCAGTTTCATAATCAACTTAAATAAATATCAATTTTCTCTATAACTTAAGAAAATATGTTCATTTTGATTGTATATTGGCTAAACAAATTTGGTTCGTTCTGAAAAATTTCATTAAATTAGAAGAATTAAATGTTTTATGAATTTTGAATCCCACAATTTACACAAGTGTTAACAAATACGAAACAAAAACTTAATGTAGGGGATCTCATCTCCTTTTTAGTCAATTCAAAATTCACAAAAGAAAGAAATGTGTTATATCATTTAAATTAGAATGAAAAGAAATGATAAAATAAAATAAAATATGATGAAATATTCTTGATCGAGAAATTATGTCATATTAACATGTTATATACATAACATATATCGATATAAAATATGGATTGTATATCCAAAAGACAAAAGTTCATATAATGAAAATATCAAAAGTTTTCTTTAAGCAACAAAATAATCCGTGGAAGATCATGTCGCCCTTGATATAAAAAGTGTGTTTTGTAATATAATTTTGTTCTTGAAAGGTACATATCTTGATGGATAAATAATTAATTGAAAAATTATATAAGCAAAAATTAGAGCATCTATATATTTGTAAATTATCGAAACTTCTACTTTTTCAAATTTTACTCTGACCAACTCTTGAGGAATCTTCCACCACCGTTAAACTTTCTTCTTCATTTCGATGACTTGTGTCAAATTAATTTTTGATCGTCTCTTTTGACGAATCTTACACCAACTTTAAACTTTCTTCTTCATCTTGATAAACTTTTGCTTGGCTATTGTAACACAAGAAGAAATTTTAAAAAATATATCTATAATCTTCGTAAAAGCTTAAAAACAAAAAAATATATATTAAAAATATGAAGTTGGAGAAAATAGAAATGAACATGCAGCAACACCATAGATGATTGTTATTTATAGATGAAAATTAAGTAGAAGGAAGTTGAGAAGACATCTTATTTAATTAGAGAATTCAAATAGATGGAGGTTTTTTTTGTAACTTTCATGTGATATAATTATATGTAATAAATATGATTGTATTTAGTAATTTTTTAGTAAGTTGATTAATAAAAAATATGAATGAAAAAACTCAAAAAAGGGAGAAAAAGAATAGGTTATTGAGAGGTGTCACATCACCTTGTTTATATCTAGTTTTATTATATGTATAAATATAGATTTTTCTTTACATTATTCATACATTTGCCTTTAATTATTTATACATTGACTTTACATTTCTCATGTATTTATTGTTACTATACATTTATACATTGCCTTTACTTAATTACTTGAGTAATCTTTTGCTGATTTTTTACTTTTTTCTCCTAACGTTTGCTATTTTTCAAATAATATTTGCCAAATAAAAAATTAAAAAATTGTAACCTAACCCTTTTTTAAAAAAAATTAGGAGTAAAACAAATTCTCACTCAACTTTAAATTCTTTCTTACTCCCTTAGTGGAGTCTATATTTCTTTATAGACCATAACTTTTAATACTTTATTAGACTAATAAAAACGATTAATTATATCATAATTTCTTTTCAAAAAAGTAAAAATATTTAGTGAAAGTTTTAATTATGCATTCAGGGCAATAAAGAAAAGTTCTTAATAAATATAGGAAAAAGATAATGGATTGCAAAAAAAAAAATAGCGAGAATTACGTAGCTAAGCAAATTTATACTATTTGATCACTCATCATAGCTATAGTTTGCTATAATTAACACTCATGAATAACAATATACATTAATTACGTGAGCTGACTTTGAGTTTGTATAATTAGTCATGTTTGTATATGTATAATTTGTCAGGATATACAAAAATATATGTATAATATATAATTTTTTAACTTATATACATATACAATTCATCTCTCTCCAACTCTCTACCCTCTCGCTCCCCTCTCTCAATCTCGCTCGCCTCTCTCCTCCCTCTCCCGATTTTGCTTGCCATTTATACAAATGTATATGTATAATATACAGTTATATACAATTATATACATATACAATTCACTTCTCTCCCACTCTCTTCCTTCTCTCGCTCGCCTCACTCCTCTCTCTCCCAGTCTCGCTCGCCTTCTCCTTTCTCTCCTAATCTCTCTTGCCATATATACAAATACATATGTATAATGTACAATTGTCTAACCAATATACATATACAATTTACCTTTCTCCCACTCTTTTCTCCCTCTCTCTCGCCTCTCTCCTCTTTCTCCCAGTCTCGCTCGTCTTTCTCCTCCATACAACATGTATCTACAAATTGTAATTATCAAATTATAACTATGGAGAGTAATTAATTACTTTTAAGTGGCTATATGTGAAAGTTTTCCAAAAATTTAAGAAGCAAATATATAAAAGTAAATAAATATGATTAGGACGTTGATTCAATCAATTAGATCTCGACCATTAATTCTAAATTATGACATGTATCTGCAATCCAAATTAAAATTTGGGGAAAATGAAGAGAAGAGAAATAGAGAGGAGTCAATCCATGAAACAATAATTTCCTTTATAGACGAGTGTGTCTATATAATTGGGAAAAGAAAAAGCTACACAGAATCAAAAAAATAAATAAATAAAGTTGACAAAGTAAATTTAAGTGGTTGAGATTTGAGAGGAAATAAAATTACCTGTTAAGATGTGTTAAACCGTCACTATGCAATATTACATTTGAAGCTTACATTCATAACTATCGACCTGTCTTATAATTGTGTTGATGAGAAAACCTTAGAACTTTACTATATATTTTTCTTTTATCATATTTTTTAGTATTTATTTTTGAAAAATATTTTCTCTATAATTTAGGACTCTTTAATTACTAATAGTTCTCTCAATAATGAAAGAATAATTAACTTTAGGAAAGGTCCTTAAATATAGGAGGATAAAATGGCGAACTCTTCGTTGCATTTAATGTCATAATGTGTACTAAATGTTTGAAACTTTTCACTATTTATACACCATATTTATGCGATATATATATATATATATATACACTTATCCGTTCATTTTTACTTGTCATTTTTTACTTGTCATTTTTTTTAAAATATAAATTATATCATTGTTATTTGTCACCTTTAATCTATCAAAAAAAAAGACAATTATATTTTTTTTATGTTTACCCTCAGCATTAAATATTCTTTCTTTAAATTATTTTTCAAAACTTAATACTAAACATCATAATCAATAATTATTTTTATGATGATTGAGTCAAAGTCAGTCGGCTAAAAGTGAACTGAGGGAGTATTATTTTATGTGCTATATAAATGGTATACATCATTTTGACAGACCAACTTCCGTGATCACTCTAAGAATTAATCATCTAAAATTTGATTTTACTAGCTTTGTGGAACAACTGTTACTTATATTTAATATAAATAATATAAAAAAGGGACAAAAATGAAAAGAATTATTTGAAGGTTTAAAAGGACATACCATGAAGACTAAAATGAATAAATTTCTACGATAGAACAAATTACGTACCAGTGCACAGTAGTGCTTGGGATGCTCTTTTGTTGGATGTTTGATAATAGTTCAACAATATGTAGCCATATTTAAAGGGCTACTAAGTATGGAATATTTTAAGCCTTCCTTCCATAGTAAAGAATAAATGTTAAAGTGACAATTGGATGCTTCAAAAGAAATAAAGATATATTTTACCTATCCTCTAAGTATAGTATTACATTAACTAGCTAAGACAAATTAAATCCCGGCCCATCGTAATATTTAGATGAGAAAAAATTTCAATTAGCAAATGTATTGGATTTAATAAGATTTTATAGCTATAATTTTTTATAATTATGCTTCAAATTATAATTATGTTTGCTATGGAGGTTGTGGTTTATATATTTCTGTCCGCTTTTGCATTTCAGTTGCAAATAATGTATTTATACATTTAGAATTTTTCAGAACTCCGTGTTTGTATATTTCGTTTGTCAATATACAAGCATGGTAATTTATTATTATTTTTTAATAAATAGTTAAACACCATATACAAACAAATAAAAATAACATCCCACACACATTTAAGACTATATATATCAACTTATAAACATACTTTTTAAAAATAAATTACTTATAGCATATTATTATCAAATTATAACATATCAATTAAATCAATTAAAAATATATTTAATTAAAAATAAATTATAAGTATTATTTAAATAATAACTAATTAATATGCTTAAATATTTTTTTTTAATATTTCAATTACCTTTTTAAAAACAAACTCTTAAATATTTACAGGTTAATATTAAAGTTATCTTTTACGGTTTTTAAAATAAATAGTAAATTATTATTAATTAAATTCAAATTATAATGTTACCTTTTTAAAAACAAAATTTACTTATTATGGATTTGATTTTAAGTAAATTCCTACTTTACCGTTGCCCAATAACTACCCACCCCCACTACACCATATTACCAATCACCATCACATTCTTCCCCAAAACGCCTAAATTCTATTTCCCTCCAAAATCGTCCCAAATACTAATCTTCCTCACAAATCATTAATCATCTTCTTTAGAAATTTTATATCACTCATCATCTTCACTAGAAATTCTTAGATCGTCTGATTCATCCACATTTTCACATCACAGATCGATTTCGAAAAACACCATATTCATAAATTTTTTTACTTTCTGTTAAGTTCATAAAAATGTTGAGGAAAGGAAGTAGACCATCAAGTAAAAGTAGAAAATTGGTTCAGGAGTCATCATCCGATGACTTTCATGCACCTTCATTCAATATTTTGACACAAACTCAACCATAAAATCAATCTGAAAACAGACTACAAGTTCTGATAAATTGAAGACTGAAAAAAATAAAGATGCAAAAGAAAGAGGAAAAACAAGGAAGGGAAAAGAAATTCAAGTATCGTCAGAATCAGATCCCGATTTTGTTGAAGAATTAAAAAATAAAAGTTCAAAAGGTATTGAAATTGGTAGGTCGACAAGAAATTCCTTAAAGAAGGATTCAGAGATACAACACATAAAGAAATCCAAAAAAAAATGTCAAAGTCAGTAAAAACGATTCTTTTTAATTTTGGTTAAAATATAATATGTAAGTGAATATACAATGTCATATGCGATTACTTTTAATTTTTAAAAAATATAATATGTATTATCATTGCTTGAATTATATGTGAACTAATGTATTTAATGTGTATGAATTATATTGACTATTATTTAGTATGGCAGTCTATATGTGATTTTATATATGAAATTATATATTGTATGAAAGATGTATGAACTGATGTATTCATTTTGTATAATTTGTGTATGAAATATTGTATGAACTGATGTATTCATTTTTAATATAACAGTGTATCTATGATTTTTTATGAAATTATATATTAAGTTAAAAGTACTAATTTAGTTTTATCAAATTTTATAGGAGAAGAAGGTACAAACACATTTGTTTTCATGTATCAACATGAATGCGTTTGCTGATCTATTGACCTTCCTCTGTCAAGACAAGTTTCAACAATTCTTAAAGGAAACACTTTTTTGAATTTTTTTTATGATTTACACAACATTAAATAATGTCAGTTATTACACCATATTTTTCTGTTTGAAACTGAAAATGACAGAGATGACATGTTTGTCATAAACGTAAATGATACAGAGTTAAGGTTTGAATTAAAAGAATTTGTAGCTGTAATCAGTCTGAAATCTGGACCTATTTCTGATTTTGTTTCTGATCCCTCTCGTCCAAATAGGATTATTGTAGAAAATTTCGGGGATATGGAGATGACCGTTAAAAAATTGGAATTCTGTATTTTATTTCTTCATTCATGACTGCTTCAGTCAATGTGTTATCAAAGATGTTTCAAGCAGATGTGGCAGGTATAAATGTATATAAACAAATTTATTTTATTTAAATTCACAATTTCAAAAATTATACAATTTTTTTTTGTAATATTCACAAGAAAATATCATATACAAAGGCTAAAAATACATTTCATATTCAAATGAACTTTGGTTTAATCAAAATCACAGAAAAAGATTTTTTCCATATAATGAGTCAACGGACAGACCTTGGGAGGATGGGGTAAAATTTAATTTGATTAAATAATGAATAATTATTGTACAACACTTGAATAAATTTTATACTGTAATTTTGTATTTGTTAGAATCCATGTTAATTGAGGTATGTATTGTTTTAATTTAATATAGTATGAATTGTGTATGCATCGACGTATCTATTAAAATATTAACATACATAATCTTGTAAAATGATTTATACATATATTTCATTAATATATTATGATATATGTATGCATTGATGTATTTTACCGAAATTCTTACGAAACATGTATACATTTTTTATCTGTTTGATTATGTGAGAATTGGGTATGAAATATGTATATACCTTTCTTATATATAATTTGTGTACACAATATTGATTGTGTTCTACATATTTTTTTTTGTTTGTAACAACATATTAATACAATTATGTATTATCTTCGAAAGAAGGCAAAATACTCCCAGACAGTAATTTCATACAGTACTGTTGACTGTTTGTTTATGACATGGATTGATAATATTGAGAAACAATAGAGACAGTCAGATTGCGACATGAGATGCATTGCCCCCGACCACGATGTTGGACAGTGCATTAGAGGATTTAAGTTGCTTGCTAACATTGCTGGGGATAGGGTCAATGAGAAATTCCATTGGTTGCTTGTTGTATTCCGAATCAAACATAGATATCTACATGTATATGATTCGATGAGTGGAGGATCTGTTCATACCGTTAAAGTGCAAAAAGTTGTTGATAAACTTGCAACCATGATTCCATTATTTTTGACGAGCACATGGTTTTATGGCAAAAGACTTGATTTGTATGAGAAGAATCTCTCAGAATATCAACACAAGTCTCAATCCCAACCTCTCAGTTTCAAGCATGTGACATATGTTCCTCAACAAGAAGACAGTTCCAAGTATGTATAGTTGCTATGCTATATTCATTTCATTTAAAATTACATCATTATATAGTTATTACGATTTTTTTTCTAATTTCACATTATTTACAGCGATTGTGGTCTATACACATCTATTTTTGTCAAATATATCAACAATCGTGTTTTTAACGTGTCTGATATTGATATTGATTCAGCATATCATCGTCAAAGGTATGCCACATTATTGTGGCATTATGCAAAATCAAATAATGAAGAGAGCGCAATAAGCGAAAGAGAAGTTACGGGTACAGTTGCCAGCAAGTATGGTGGACCTCGAACGCCAAAAGAACAAGTTATGGATACAACCAAATATCCTACGCCAAGACCCCGTAATAGAAAGTAGAAATTTTCATTGCACCCTTTACATTATTTTGAATGTCATGTTTTTTTGAACTATTAAACTTTTTATGTTACTTTTCAGTGTTTTATTATCAATATGAATTACACATTGTTTTATATAAAGTATATATGTTATCATTATTTTGGACGAACTAATACATTTACAAACATAAACTTGTATGAATTATGTATTCCATATATTAATCATTGTAAAATAATATAACATCTATTTATGCATATTGTATTAAATATATTTAACTACATATGTCATAACATATTATGCATGAACTTTGTATGAATTATGTATACAATATATAAATCATTGTAAAATAATGTAACATATATGTATACATATTATATGAAATATATTTAACTTTATATGCCATAATATATTAATTGTTGTATATAATGGTAGTATGCTTCAATGAATATTAGTACTTAGTAAATGTGTATGACTTTTATATAAATTCCGAATGCACTATGCAATATATAGGAACATTGTATGAATAATGTATGAACATTGTATGATTATGAATGTCATATTGTACTTTGATATATAGAATATAAACAAATGGTATATATATGAACATTGTATGAATGACAGTATGCTTCAATGTATATTTATACATTATTAAATGTGTATGACTTTTGTATAAATTTCACATTCACTATGCAACATATATGATTTTTGTATGAATACTCTATGAACATTGTATACTGTATTTCACATTTGAAAAAATTGTGTTTTACTGCTAGTTGTATTTGACAATTTTTTACGAAATCAAAATTTATAAATGTCAATAATAACAACTACTCTCAATAAAACAAAATGTGTGTCTAACATTCGAAATAACATAAAAACAGATGTGAAAGTAAGAAATCATTGTTTTTGCACATGATAATTTGAACATGTCTTTCTATTATGTCCAACTTGATGACATCTACTGCAGGTGATTTTGTCCTCTTGAATTTCACATCAGCAAACCCCTTCCAGCATTCAAATTTTGATCTTCCCGTTGATCGTTTTGGACCGAGTGACATCATTTTAGGCTCTGAAATATAACTTGCTATATCCCATGTACTCTCGCATGTGATAGGCTCAATAGGAATGGCATAAGCATCTCTAAAATTCTTCAGGCTATAAAAAGTAGAACAAAAATCTGCTTCATGCAACTTTCTATATCTGAGAACTGCAATTACATGATCACATGGT